CATCCTAAAGTCTCGGGGGATGCTGGGGATGTTGTCCCCTAAGTCGGGCCAACTTTGCCGAAAACGTGCAACCTGAAAATCTTAAAATCTTAAAGTGGATGGAAAATGGATGGAAAATGGCCTGGATTGATAAAAACATCCTAAAGTCTCGGGGGATGCTGGGGATGTTGTCCCCTAAGTCGGGCCAACTTTGCCGAAAACGTGCAACCTGAAAATCTTAAAATCTTAAAGTGGATGGAAAATGGATGGAAAATGGCCTGGATTGAAATCTCAAAATCCTAAAGTCTTAGATTCTTAAAATCTTAAATTAAAATCTAACAATCAATCTTAGAATCTCGAGATCTTAAAATCTTCGAACTTAGAATCTTAAAATCTGAAAATATAAAAACATCCTAAAGTCTCGGGGGATGCTGGGGATGTTGTCCCCTAAGTCGGGCCAACTTTGCCGAAAACGTGCAACCTGAAAATCTTAAAATCTTAAAGTGGATGGAAAATGGATGGAAAATGGCCTGGATTGATAAAAACATCCTAAAGTCTCGGGGGATGCTGGGGATGTTGTCCCCTAAGTCGGGCCAATTTTGCCGAAAACGTGCAACCTGAAAATCTTAAAATCTTAAAGTGGATGGAAAATGGATGGAAAATGGCCTGGATTGAAATCTCAAAATCCTAAAGTCTTAGATTCTTAAAATCTTAAATTAAAATCTAACAATCAATCTTAGAATCTCAAGATCTTAAAATCTTAGAACTTAGAATCTTAAAATCTGAAAATATAAAAACATCCTAAAGTCTTCGAATCTTGAAATCTTAAAAACCTTCTGTCTTAGAATCTTGAGATCTTAAACTCTTAAAATATGAAATTCCTAAAGTCTTACAATCTTAAAATCTCAGAATCTTAAAAGCTTGAAAAACTTAAATTCTTTAAACCTCGAACACTTGAAATCTGAAAATCTTATATTATTAAAACTATTACATTCCTTAAATCCGGGCTACATTTTACATTCCTTAAACTCTTAATCATGAAATTTTGAAATCTTGAAACCTTAAGATCTTAAAATTACAACCTTAGAAGTTAGAATCTTACAGCCTGAAAATATAAACATCCTAAAGTCTTCGAATCTTGACTTCTTAAAACCCTCATGTCTTTGAATCTTCAGATGTTAAGATCTTAAAATATGAACTTCCTAAATTCTCAAAATCTTCAAATCTCAGAATCTTAAAAGCTTCAAAAACTTAAATTCTTTAAATCTCGAACTATTGCAATCTGAAAATCTTAAATTCATAAACAACTAAAATATAATAAAATTCCTTCAATCCGGGCTATATTTCAAATTCCTTCAACTCTTAATCTTCAAATTTTGAAGTCTTGACATCTTAAGATCTTAAAATCTTAAATTCCGAAAGTCGCCAAATCTGAAAATCTCACAAAACATAAAATCTTAAAGCCTTCGAAATCTGATAATAGATGGAAAATGGCTGGGCAATGGCCTGGCTGTTATAACCTTCAAAAACCTTAAAATGTTTGAATCTTAAAACCTTAATTCTTAAACCGTTGAAACCTTCAATTCCGAAAGTCTTCAACTCTGAGACCCTTAGAATCTCAAAGTTTTTAGAATTTTAAAATCTTAGCATCTACTAATCGGACTTACAGGAAAGGGAAGTGACAGAACGGGCAGGGCAAGGTGCCCGGTGGCCGGCTGTGTCGCGTCAGCGTGGAAATTCTCCTGTGCCACGGAGAATGTTTAGAGAGAGAAAGCAATGCAGGGCTTCCTCTCTTTCCCTTTTCAACCAACCAGTTAATTGCAGCTTTTGATTTGGGGAAATCCAGTGACGCTGCAATGCGAAGCACTTTCTGAACTTCTTGCTTCATTCTGCAGGCTCAGACGGGCTATGCCCTTGCCATCGTCCCAAGGTTCAAGCTGTTAACACTTTGGGGTGGTCTTTGCTTAGTAATTAGTCACACATCCTGTTGATCCAAACCAAGACACCCCCCATTTCCCTCATGCCACTGCCTCGCCGAGGGGCTACTCAGCCGCCTGAGTGGGATTTTGTTTGCTCTCATTCGCTCTCATTCACAAAGCCGAGGATCGGCTTGGTGCGAACTCAAAATGATTCACGTAAAACTGCCTAAAAAATGGGTCGGGCTACCTGGACCCTCAAAATTCCAACTTACAACTGGGTTATTGCTCCAAAATTTATGGGGTGGATTCCCTGTTTTATGGGTAGTTTGAGGGTCCAGGTGCCCTTTTGGGTTGTCTTGAAGGGCTACAAAAGCGAAGCCGGGGACATACGGGGACCCTCAATCTTGGACTCACTGAGCGGATTGGCCAGAAAAAGCCCAAACTTTCTTTTTACCTCTGAAATGGACTTTTCCGAATGAAAACCAAAAAAGCTCCTCGGAGCTCGCGATGGATTCGCCGACCCGACCCATCTCCCGATCCCCGGCAGCCCTCTGACCTGGAACCAGTCACATGCCATGCGCACCTAGATGCATTGCGTCCCAGTGACTTTGCATCTTGATATGAAAAAGGAACCCCTGGCTCCTTTTCCAGCCGTCAGACACTAGCAGTGCTTTGCTTTGAGGATGCAATGGTTTAGAACATTCGAAGGCCAGTCAAAAATCGTCACATACAGACACTCGCAAGTTACGTTTCATGAATGACTCCTGCTCAAGACAGCACTAGATAAGTAGTGTCATGAAGCCTGTACAAGAAGGATACACCATGCCTTAAATAGAGCGGAGGAGCAGGCGCCACCGTCCTGCCACAATCCCAGTCTCTGGTTGCTTTTTTAGTCAGTGAAGAAAGGGCCACCTGAAACTTGGAATTGAAAACTGGATCAAACGAATGAGCTGGATGTGTTGCGGAGTCAGAGGGAGACAAAGATGACACAGGAACCGAGAACCGCCGTTTTCCACCGGGCTCCAAGCACGCAACAACATGCTCGAAGCTGGTTTTAAGCCCCGGCTGCTTGCCAAAAGAGACATCAAAGGCCAACACTGGGCCACGAGCTTCTGCCACCCTTTTCGGCCATTTTTGCGCCACCCCTTTTTGGCACGGCAAAAACCGAACGATAAGCATTGCGGGTTTTTGTCAAGTTAGTCCCCAAGTAGGCGAGAGCCGCAGAGGAATACTCTGGTACTTAGAGGCTTGCGACAGGTGGTGTCTCCCTATACTGAAATGTCGCTCGACAAAGTCGTTATGACACCCTAGCGAGTCCAAGAAGATCCACAACCCAGACGGATCTATCAGGTTTGGCCGGGACAAGTTGTTTCTCACCTCGAGAAGCCTACACTTCGATGGTGCCCAAAAATCTAAACCCAGGGAGATCTGATATTGGCCCAAACATTTTCATCAGCTACCCTCTTTCCAACATTTAAAAGCCAATTAGTTTTCCGAAACCCGGCTGTCAGCTTCCATTGAGGGAGGGCTACAAAATCTAGGCTTGTCTCAAAAAAAAGAGATGGCTTTCCTTTTGTTTCCTTTCTAAACCAAGCCAAAAAGGGGTCCCTCAAAAACGACGGACCCTTGTTTCAGTTCAGTTCCGACGGGCCACTTTCGTTTCTTAGGTCTACAACTTGGGAGCCCCGCTCCGCCCACGGGCCCTCGGCCAAAGGACCTCAAGCTGGACCATCGGTCAAAGGCGTTTGGACATGAACAGGGTTTAACATGTTGGGAGTTTGTTTTAATTCAAACGTGTTGAACATATGTTTCCAAAGCGTTGCGGAAGCAGAAGTTGGTTCAATTTCAAGTTTGAGGGTTTCAAACAAATCTTGGACTTGGATGTGGAAACCCTCAAGTCCGCATTTCGGAAGCTTGTCCATGCTGAAACCACTGTGGATTTGGACACCCTCCAATTCCATGGGCTTCCAAATACGCGTTCACTGAACGGTACCCGTTGGTTCCGGCGGGGTGAGGCAAAGGGCTCGGGCTGACCAACCGTTTTATCAAGGCAACTCAAAAGAAACTCGCTCAACAAAACAACGATTCCAGAAAGGTGATAAGGTAAGAAAGGAAGCCCCGTTGACCTTTGCAAGGGGGGGGCAAATCAAGTCGCGAGAGCGGATTCGGCTCCCAACCCCATAATTGTTCATCAACACGGTCAGGTTGTAGGGCCTCACCAGAATCTCTACTTAGCCAGGATGAACAGGACCCCTTACCAAGTCTCGGCCAAGAAGGGATGTTGCGCGCTCGAGAACACCCCACTAGTTGTGCCGCCAAGTGGTTCTCTTGCATGGTTTGACAAGCATGCATCCAACATCACCGCCTTATCCCGGCACCAGTCCATTGGCACCTCTCGTTCAAGGCGCGTTCTTATGAAAGGTCCTTGAATCTCTTAAGTTTAGGTGTTTGGAACATTCACCAGCAATATTCCAGCGAATGTTCTGTCACGCAATAATACTCAACACCTTGCCGAACAAAATATCATGCATTGTGATTGTATCTGTGTGTTTGTCTCCGTTCATGTGTGAAACATCGGCACTTCTCCCAATCATTCTTCTCTATCATGCTCCCCCTCACCTCATTGCACCAAGAGTTGCCTTGACCCTCCAGCACGCACGCCAACCTCAAAGCGGTTACAGCATAGCAACGCCTGGGGTCCTCAAAGCCAGGTGCCAATCCAGCAACCCTCGCCTGCTTTCATTGGCTGTTTTTGGCTGCTTGCAAATTTAAGTGGGCCACCACTGCTCGGTTGACGTTGGAAGGGGAGCAACAATTTTAAAAGTTTTAGCAGTTAAGTGGTTGGATTTCAACCACTAAACCACAAGAAGCAAACATGTAAAACAATGCTTCCCACTGGGTCCTCCAGTAGAGAGGTTGGAATAAGGGTACCCTTCTTTCTGTGGTCTGTTTTAGTAGGGGAACCCTCCCAACCAAAAAAGGAAGTGGGTAAAAGGGCACCAAATTGCTGGGGGATCTAGCCCAACAACAATGACTGAACAGATAGGCAGCGTGGGGCATCTCCGGAAGGCCTCCCCCGTTTCGGACCTTCGGTCCCCCCGCTCAGCTCTGGCTGACTGCAGATCTGGGTGGCCTCGAGCCATCGGTGGGCCGAGAGGTGGGAAGCAACGAGGTCGGCGGTGGGATCCGCTGCCAAACGAAAAGTGGGGTAAGGGGCGAGTCAGGTTGGACAAAGTCAGGAAACAGGTCGAAAGTCAGGAAACAGGCTGGAAGTCAGGAAGTGGGTTGGTCCAAGTCAGGAAACAGGTTGGGACGTGTCAAGAACTATGTGGATAACAACAAGACCCAAGGATGCAAATCAGCCAACTGGGCATCGCCTGGGTCGCTTTTTCCTGGTGCGCCAAGGGAAACCGAACGTTTGAGACAACGGTTGAAACAAATTCCGTCGGGCCCGGAAAAACGCTCATTTGAACCCAGAAATGAAGCTGTCGAGAGATTAACCTCATCCCGAAACCACAGCCAAGCGGCTCGAACCAAAAAGCACCTAATAACCCGATAGGGCAAGTAGAACACCTAAGCCTCTCATTCATGAAAAATTACCCGATGAGCAGACACCAAATTTGCAAGCAACGCCCTGATCAGCGAATGCTTCATTTGACTTGATGCCAACACACACACACACACACACACTCAACGGCCCTACCAAAGTTTCTACAGCACCCAACACCTCCGCCGTGTTCACATGAGCTCAAGACCAAGTCTAACCAGCCTCAAATATTCAACTCCCTCTGCGTCAACACCGTAAACTGAAACCCAAGCTACAATAGGATGCCACAAACATGTCCAAGGGCACCAGGGAATCCCTTTTTCAGGGGTGTTGTGGGGCAGGGGTCAAGTTGATAAATCGACTGGTGGTCTCTCTCTCCATTGAAACCGCCACTTTTAGAGGTTCCAACCAGGGAAATGGAGGAATTCCCGGCGACTTGGGTTCTTTGACCCTCTCTCTCGTCTTTGGGCTGTGAACCCGCCGACCCCGACCAACCCCCCCGCCCCAAGCCCCCACCTCCTCCAGGGTGGTGGGGATGCATCCAAGGCCTTCCAGCTCCAACCAAATGCCTCGGCACTGGACGAACCCCCCTCGCCTTGACGACGACTGACATGGACATGGGGTCTCTCGTTTTTTGAGGGGACCCCTTTTCGCGGTTTCAAAGGGGAAACCAAGAGAACCGCCGAAACCAATTTGGGGGCCTCCTAGAAAAAGACACACCGTCAACCATCGGGAGTTTGGCCCAACCAAAGGTGTCCAAACCAGAGAAGTGGCTGGGCAATTTGGCAAAACATGCTGGTTTGGCTGGCCACAGGCCAAGCGTAGATGGCCCGGAGAAGAACGAATAAGACTGGAAACAGCATGACTCACAGACCAAACTTGAACCCCCTTCGAACAAATAGACGACTTGGTCTGGGAAACACAAGCCACCCCAAAATGGGAAGGGCAACGCGGAAGTGAGCTGAGTGAGTATTTCTTGTTTCAAGGAGCAACAAAAAAACATCGCGCACCTGGATGGGGTCTCCAAATTTGAGATACCCCCCAAGTAGCTAAGCCTGGCATTGAATGATTGGCAAGCACTGGTTGCTCTTCTCAGCAAACGTCAAACTCATGAAGCCTTGAAACGCTCTGCAAAAAACACTCCGAGACCTGCCAGACTTGGAAGGAGTTCTTAGCTCGCAGTCTGATCAACTCCAGGTACAACCCCAGTTTCTGACTTTGATAACTCCCATAAAACAGCTACACCCAGTGGATCCCAGTTTCCACTAGCAGCTAACCACACATGTTTATCATTTTTGTCTTGCAAGTCTCCTGGCCTAACCCCAAAATGACGGGCTGTGAATGGCACCCTGCGAGGTAGCACCCCAAGGGGCGGCTTCTCTGGTTCGTTTTCAGCATGGACTCGTTGGACCCCGATTCGATCGAGTGGCCGCCGCCGGACATCTGCCAGCGCTTGCCGGCCACGTGCCCAGAGTCCTCGGGGGAGAGCTGCAGGTACCTGACTCCGATCGCTCATCGATCCCCAAACCCCTCCCGGCGACACAAAAAGGGGCGAACGAACACAGAAACATGGGTGCTTTCCTTTGTGTTCATAGCTTGCTTGCCTCTTCTTGTCTTTGTTCCTTTTCTTTTCTTCTCCGAATGAAACGGCCAAAGACGTGTGCTTGAAGTGCTGCAGAGGACCGACATGTGTGGTTCAACATCTCCAAAGCCCCTCAAACGAAAGGAAGCAAGCCACTGGAGGGCTGGGGACCTCGTTTGTGGCCCCTTGGCGTCCGACTGACTTTGAGTTGTTTTGGCCAACAAAAAAGACGTGATTCACAACCTGAACGAAATAAGGCGAGCAATCTTCATGGGTTGTGATTAACAGGTCCACATAAGCTGCCTTTAGTTAAATTGATCTTCCTTTGGGCGGGGAGCCCATCCAGGATTCCCCAGGTAGCAACCTTTTGTCTGCTTGACTTGTCATGGTTTATCCAAAAAAAAGATGCCTCTACTTCGGTCCCCAAAAGGACACATTCCAAAAATGCAAGGCGAATCAATTCAGGGAATCTCCAAGTCAAGGACCTTCCTTCACGGTGCCCGCTTCACCCGAGCGGTTAAACTCCATTTCTGAAATGGTGGTCGAAGCCACACCAGAGGCCCGTTAGACAAGGTACTCCTTCAGCCTCACAGAATCTGGCCTAGGTCCTCCAGTTTTGGAGGTTAGAATAAGGCTACCAACTGTTTTCGCGACGTCTATTTTAGTAGGGGAACCCTCCCCCCCAAAAAAAGGTAAAAGGGCACTACTGGGGGACCTAGTGGCGGTATGTTGCTGAAAGGGATCTAGATCGCCAATCTTCAATAGGAATCGACCTAACGATAGCTTCTTGAACGCCTGCCTCAGAAACAACACACAAACACACACGTGGAGCAGTGTTTCCCTTGGGGCCTTGAATTGTCCAGAGACCGTTGCCATTATGAGTAGGCACTGAGTGGGAATTGAATCAGATTTGAAAAGCAACACTTTAGTGTGGGTATGTCAAGATGGGAAGCACCCCAATGGACAGCCCTTTTGGTGTCCCCTAGAAACTCTACCCTGGCCCGTTTACCCTCGAGAGTATCAAAATCCGCTTGATCGGTCCTGCCCGTTTAAGGAACCCAAGCTCCCCCACGGTTGCCCCCTCCAGTCGCTTCTAGTCTAGAGGCTTAAAAGTTCTTGGCCATATTCCCAGTGCAAAACGCCGAATCCGATTCTGCCGCTGGTCGTTTCACAGGTTGTTGCTTTTTGGTCTAGATACCCCGCATCCATCTCAAACATTGACATCACCTTGTCAGGACCCCGACATTCGCCCAGGGCTAAAGAGGGCTCTTCATAGCTAGCTTGTGCTAAAGGCCCAGGGTTTAATCAAGTGCCTTGAACATGCGTGCAGAAAGTCAGAAAAAATCCAACAAATCAGGTGTCTAGAACCTCCCCTTGTATAGGTTTCTCGGGAAAGGACCCGCCCTCTCGCTAAACGGAACCCAAGGGGGGTTCTTGTACGAGAAAGTTGGTCGTCCCAGAAGGGCTTTCGCATGTGCTATCCTCTTCGCTAGTTGACTTGCTACTTGCTACTTGCCAATCTTGAGGGTCCAGCCCATCTTTGACTTCTGAAACCAAGGAGGAAAAAGCCGCTCATCTTCAGCCCCGGTTGGACGCTGGCCAAGGCACTCTTTGCCTGGCTGCCAAGGGAACCCAGGTGCGGTCCCGCATGTCAATGCAAAAAAAAAACAAGATACGCTTTGAGCATATCCCCACCAGGTCACCATGAGCATTTCGTTCGGTTCTAATAGTTGGTTGCCATCGCCAAGACGAGCCTGCCCCGTTTAACACGGGGGGCAATCGCTTGGGGTACTGGAATTAATCTTCGATCATAGTGCCCAGGCTATGCTCAAATTCAGAGGGCTCTTTGAGGTTCCCCAGGTGCTGCCAATGCCGACCAGGGACATTCCTTTTTTGACCGGGAGAAAACGATCAAGTGCCTGAAGAGAGACGTGACCAAGCAAACTATCCACAACCAGGATGATCAGGATGTGGAGAAGAGCTGTCAATCGCTCACCGGACTTGCAAACTTCATCCTAGCTGATGTGCAGTCCTTACTGCCCAGCGCCTCTTCGCATGGCCGTCAACTGCTAGTGATGACACCGTCCAATGAGGCGCAGTAGCCAAGTGTCAAGCCAACATTGCAGGGAAGCAACCGAAATGCCGTCGGTCGGGTCACAACCAAACCAATCAACCAACCAACCAACCAACCAACCAACCAACCAACCAACCAACCAACCAACCAACCAAGCAACCAAAGAAACAAACAATCAAAAAACAACCAATCAAAATAAACAATAAAAACAAACAAAAAAGCAATCGAAGTTGGGAAGCCCCCGCAAGGCCTGGCTCGTAGAAGACTTGGGGCTCCAAGTCGAAGTCTGGGCAGTACTGGCTCTTGAGCACCTGGCGCATCGCTTGACAGAAGTCGTTTTCACCTTTGCTCGGGAACATAGAGAAGGCTGCTTCCTTTTTTCATTTGTTTGGGGCGGTGTTGAACAAAAAGGAAGGTCAGAAACGCTGCCAGGTCTTGCTGCAACTTTGGGGAAAGGGATGCGGTTTGGATACTGGGAAGTCCTATCTGCAAGGGGGAAGAGTCTTTTCTGCCAAGCCTTGCTCCTTGGTCTCGCCGCCTACATAGCTCCACTTGAGACCGCCAGTTTGGACAGGATCTCAACATGCCACTCAGGTTTGAGAAGCGGCACACCACACAGGCGGGAAATCGAGCCAAAGAAATGGAGGCAATCCTAATGCACCGCGGGCTGGCTGGCCAAATCTAAGGCGTTTGCTTAACTGCTGCACACATGAAACAGTTCATTGATGTTCGCTTAACATTGACGGAAAAAGAATAAATAAACAAAACACATGGAGCTGCGAGAGTCACATTCGCCAGTGTGGCCCTCTTCGCTCAAAATAGAACCACAACGAACCACCAGTCGACCTGTTCAGGAACGTCCTTTTCCCAGACCCCCGGTCATGGGAAAACAGAGCACCTTCTTTCCGTCTTACTAACCCTTGGCATGGCAGCAAAACACCGAGTGTTTGTTGCACAAAACATGATCCACCAACGGTGAAAAGGTGGTAGAGCACCATCTCTCGGTCGATTTTCAATCGACGGCCCTTTGTTTTCCTGCAAAACAGGTAGCGCCGGGGCCTCTCTCCCCCCTCTGGGTATTTCCCTCATTCTAAGGCGCATAGACGGGGTTCACGTTCAGCCAGTTGTAGCAGAAGTCCTCGCAGGACTCGCAGCGGTCCTAAGGATTCACAACCGGATCATCGCGCACTCGAACACCCCGAGGTCAAGACCCAGCAGATGGAACGGGACGAGAGCTCGGGCTCTGGTGCAAGCACTTGAACATATCCAAGATCAGTAGGCAATGAACACTTTCCTGCTCACTTGACCCACTCTGGACAAGCAGCCAAGGTTGGTATGCAGCATTCCATCCACTCCCATCAACAAAAGTGCGGCTTCGGAAGACCAAATGCATTCAACAAAGGGGTGTGCCCCCTTCGAAAGAAAAAACAAGAAAAGTGGCTTCCTCCAGAGCTCCTGAAATGGATTCCCTCAAAACGCTCGAACGAGACGAACAGAAGCCGTCGGCTCCATCCTCATGGCTTCGGCTTCATTTCGGACGCGCCCGCGAGTGACTTCACGCGACAAAGGACGGGGCAAAAGCATTTTTCTGGTCACTCCCCGAAGGACTGGAGACTGGAGCAACTGGGTGTCTCTTTTTTTGAGAGTGCCATGTTTTGGTGGCTTTGACAGCCAAACCAGAAGGCAACCCGCATTTTTTTGGGGTGTCCCCGAACAACAGACACACCAAATTGGAAAAAACACTGCAGGCTTCAGGGAGCAGCAACAATTGCCCTGAAAGCCTTTAGTACCGGCCGAGCTAAGCCGAGCGAGCCCAGAAATCAGCAGGGCCAGTCGCAATGAGAGACTTCCCCGAGGGCCACAGCCAACGCCCGAAACGAGCACAGGGCACCCTGGCTTCGCGCCTAAACCCGCCTCCCTCAAATGGAAAGTGGGCTGTTGAAACATGCTCTGCGGATGGTCAAAAATCCTGATGTTTGTTTCCCAAGAAAGAAGTGCTCCATGGGTGTAAACACAAAGAAATGCAAGGATCGTGCCATCATGTTTAAACCTGTCGAACAACCTATTGCTTACCCTCCAACTAACATGGCGCCTCACAAAGAATCCCATCAGGAGCAAATTGATCTTCCAGGTACCCTCCAACAGGTGCCTTTTGGTTAGTGATGATTAGTGGGGGAGAGGGCTACTCCCCACTTAATCCACCATTTGGGGCGAGGTCGTGTGAGGTCGTTATAATTCACCCAAATGTTTAAACATGTCGAACAAGCTATTGCTTAATCCTTTTGGTTCCCCATTTGGCCATGGGTCAATATCCCGTACCCACTCCAACCACCAAAAAATGTCCTAAAATGGGTGGAGAATTCACCCAATCCCCAAAATGGGATCCCAAATTGGCTTTAACCACCACAGCCAGTTCAACGGTGGCCAGCAGGCCCCAGCCTTCCAGCCCTTCCAGCCCCTTCCGCCCCCCAACGAACGCACGGGCGCTCGCGAGTGCTGGCGCTGGCGCTCGCATTCGAGGCGCGTCGTCGGAGCGCTCCCGCGAGCGCTGCGGCACGTCCAGCTCACCGTGAAGGCCCAGAGGCCAGGGCACGCCCATGAGGCACAGCAGCGGCCAGTAGACCCCCTGAGAGACTCACTGGCTGAGATGGTCCAAACCCAAAAAAGTCCAAACTTTTTGTTTGCCACTAAAACGGTCCAAACCCAAAAAGCTTAAAGTTAATGAACTCAGGAAGTGAGGAGATGACCCAAAACTAGGTCCTCCAGTTTTGGAGAGTGGAATAAGGCCATCACCTTTTTTCAGAACGTCCTTTTTTAGTAGGGGCACCCTCCCAACCAAAAAATGGGGTGAGAAAGGGCACCTAGCTGGGGGAAATGTCGTCAAAGCTCCGGAAACCCAAGACAGAACTGCTGCGCTCCTGGGATGCCGATTTGGACGATGCTCGTTCGCTCCGAGGTAAGTTTGAGAACGTTTCTGTTGAGGCACCTGCCACAGGCCCGCGCAAGCCGGGGACCTAGCTTCGGGAAAGTCTTGATCTCAGCTTCAATTATTGAGGTTTGTCGTCCTGTGAACAGTCAGGTTCCCCCTTCAGGCAAGGCCACAGCCACAGAGTCACGTCAAAGCCTGTGGGACGGGATGGATACTCCAGGGTTCGTGTGGATTCCATTGTCACTGGAGCTGTTCAGCTACATCCCAGAGTTCCCTTGAGGGTGCTGCTTGCTTAAAGTTGGCGAACGATGCAGGGCTGGTCGTCCAGAATTCACAGGAGGGTTTGGGAACTTGATTTATTAAGTTGGAAAAAGGACGGCTGGTGAATCTGAGCGGGCTTGAATATGGCTCTGAAGTCTGAGCGGATTCGATACGTAAGAACAAAGATGCCGTGAGAGCTACAGCTGATGGGCCCCCGACATGATTCGTGGTGCCGAGCACTGAGAGTAAACAAATCAACTGACTCATCTTGGTCATTCTGACCAGTGAGGATACACGCTGCGACATGATCAACTGCCGCATCGTGTTTCTTTCAACTTGCAAAGGCAAACAAAGATCCCAAATTCTCTGCAGCAAGAAACTGTACAGTGCAATCATGCATGCACAAGTCTACAATCTGCAAAAACAGAAGGTGGCATGAGCAACGATGCATTGTTCTGATCATGCACTGTGGGAAAGGTGGCATGATGGACATTCGCAAACGTATATTATATATGACAACACGCGTGACATACTCCGTGAATATTGTCCGTAGCTCGTACACCGTTGTCCTTGGGTCACACACACACAGACAACACAGCATCCATCTGCATTCAGGTCACGTAAGATAGAACCACCGACTTGAGGATGGACAGCCACTGCCTCAATGTTTGGCGAGTCCAAAGAGCGGATGTTAAGCCACGTCACTCTGTCTTGCTGGAATTGAGCCAGAGCATACCAGCCTTGACTGTGAGCCTGTGCGCATATAGATGGGCAGGTGGGTGGGTGGGTGGGTGGGTGGGTGGGTGGGTGGGTGGGTGGGTGGGTGGGTGGGTGGGTGGGTGGGTGGGTGGGTGGGTGGGTGGGTGGGTGAGGGTGGGTGGGTGGGTGGGTGGGTGGGTGGGTGGGTGGGTGGGTGGGTGGGTGGGTGGGTGGGTGGGTGGGTGGGTGGGTGGGTGGGTGGGTGGGCGCGCGGGTCGGTGGGTGGGTGGGCGGGCGGGCGGGCGGGCGGGCGGGCGGGCGGGTGGGTGGGTGGGTGTATTTAGATGGACGGGGCACACACACACACATTCCTTTCCGCGGCTACCAGACTCCACCCAGCCACCAAACCGTCCGACCGGATCTTTGGGCCGGTCCAGTCTGACAGCCCCACCTTGGAACGAGCATCCAAACTCCAAGATCCAAACAGCTTAAGCTTTGAATGGGAAAAACAAACAGGTGGGATCCGAACTGCACATTAAGCCATGCAATGGTATCTACTAGATTCTCCTATAGACACCATGTTTATGGGGAATGACAAAAACATACCTTAGTGGGTGCTCCTGGGTGTCTCGCCCAAGCAACTTCCAAAATGGCCAATTGGGGTTGCAGGAGGGTCTTTCACTTTTCACTGTAAGGACCTACTCACATACCACAAATTCACGGCGGTTTTCAGCGCTGCGGAGGTTGTCTCTTCTTCCCTTGGTCATAGACCCAGAAGTGAATCTGTCAGCAAATGCGATTTCCCAGGCCAAGGATTTCGGCACGGGTAACCAAGTTCCAAGGCCGTGTAATCTGTGCTGCCCATTAGGATTTAGAATCGGCCAACTGAACCTGGCCCAAACCTCTGGGTGTCTCTTGCTGGTGTGTGTTCGGGGGTTCAAGAAAGCCACTTTCACCTTCTTTTTTTTTTAACCTACCTTTGTTTATCACCTGATGAAATGGGACCCTTTAGTTGGGTTTACTTTTGACCCTTTGGATGCAAGTAGCTTGCACCTCCGATCTCGACGACTTCAGCCCAGGCGCCACTCCTGGAGCCGTACCCGCCAATAGGCATGGCAGGCTGCCAGTTCCGCCAGCAGAAGGCCCCAGCCCATGTACAGCACCAGAGAGTCCTCCCATTCGTGTGACGTCTCGTTGGGCCGTTTGGGGCCCCGTTTGGTCGGGCTTGGCCGGTGTGATTCGCAGAAAAACATGCCCAAGATGATCTTTCTGCTGCTATCCCCACAGGGCACATTCAGGAATCAGAAAGATGCCAAACGAGCCTCTGGCCCCCTAAACCGGGAGAAACTCCCAGGCATCTGAGTCGATTAGAGGGCCGGGTTGAACAAGTACAGAGCCAAGACCTTTTCAAGGCACTCTCTATAAGCCAAGCAGCCAACTTGTTGGAGGTGCAGTACCTCAGAACAGAAAGACAGCCAAGGGACACCCACAGGGTGCGTGCGTGCTTGCTTGCTTGCCTGCCTGCTGGCTTGCTTGCTTGCTATTTGTTTGTGCGTTGTGTGTTTGTGTGTGTGTGTGTGTTGTGTTTGCGTGTTGGTCTTTGTGCATGTGCGCAGATGCCTCTCTGTGCGTGCGCGTGTGCATGTGTACTGCTTGATGCTTGTGTCTGGGTGTTCTAGGAGTGTTCGCACTACTTCCAAACCACTGCTGCATGGGGAGACTGGGGTCTTTGAGCAGCACATGAGCGTTAAATGTTCTGGTTGGCTGGCGGGGAAAGAGAGCACCCGCTTGCGCAAAGAACTCCAACCGCAGCAGGACGCAAGCAACAAGGTTTTGAGAAATGTCGAGGGAACAAATCGCAGAACAGGGAACACAATGAACAGTATAACAACAGCCATGACAAGAACCACCACAGAGCTTGGAGCCATGTCAAGGGAACACACAGACACATCCGCTAGACAACGGCAAGCGGCATCTTCTTGCAGACGCGCAAATGCATAAAGCGCTGGAAGAGGTAGAAGAAGAATGCCCAAATACCTCTTCAGCCGCGAGTGGCAATGTGTGAAGGGGTTGGACCAGCCCCTTGCTAGGTGCTCCAGTAGAGAGGCTGGGGTGCCCGATTTTTTTCTGTAGTCTATGTCAGTAAAGGAACCCTCCCCGGGGAAAAGGGCGCAACTGAGGGACCTAGCTTGCTTTGACGCCCGCGTGTCCCTGGACACACCCGAACGCGCCTCCATTTAATTTGTTTTGCAGTGCCACGAACTCGGGAGCCATGGCCCATTGGCAACTCTCTCTTTGCACGGGGAGAAGCCTTGTCGGTCAGCCTTCAAGCAGCAAGTTGTAGGGAACTTGAAAAGTGGGCATGAACACGATGCCCAAATCCCCGGAATCTCCATCTAGCAAACTCACCACGAAAAGAGCAGGGATCCTTACATTATACACCTGAACATTGCCTTGTAAATGGTGGTTTCCCTTTATTTTGGTGGAAAAAACATGTTTCAAATGGGCGAAATGTATCTTTGAAGGAGCCCTGAAGAGAGCAGCGGCAGACCAAACGCCCACCGCGCAGGTTGTAAAGAGTTGTCCAAAAACAGGGGGGACCCGAAGCAATGCGAGCGCGCTCGGATACGCCTCTCGTGCCCTGAAAACTGCCTAGGTGCCAAACAAGCACTCCAACGAGTCCAATCAGGTACTCTTTAGAAGGAACCGGTGGAATCCAGACAAATCTCCATTGATCTTGCCTACCATAAGGGCTTGAAGTGAGTCCGCCACAAAACATAGCGCCTGGGATGATTCCGGGAAGGTCAGCGGCCTCTTAAAGGGATCCTCTCACAGGTGCTACTTTAGCAGGGACCTCCATTTGCTTCAGTCCCCTGGAAAAAATTAAGAATATTTCAAGTAGTGATAGACTAATAGATTCCCTTTAACACCAACAGGGGGAAATAGAAAATATTCTTAACCAAATGGAAGGGGAGGGTCGGCCGAGCTGCACAAATACGCCTGCGTCCACCACATCGAGGGCGACATGATGAAGAGAGTGAGGCAACAGCCTAAGGCAGACTGTCCGCAAATGCTCCAAAAGCAACATGGAACCTGAAGACAGCGTCTCCTAGGCGCAGCTTCCTCGGTTTTTCAGTTCCACTGGGTGGAACTCCCTGCTTCCAATTCAGCCATCCACTGGTCCCTTTTGGTGTTTCTGATTTAGCTTCAACTTCAAGACCTGCAGCACAGGTTGACATGATAAAATATCTTCGAGCCCCACAGCGACTTCTTGCAGATCTACCACAATCTTCGGGCTGATTCAAACGCTGCCTGCCACGGGCTCCCCTTCGTCTCCCCTCAAACTTTTACACCTGCCCTATGCAAAAGGCTAAATGCGGGAAACGTTGACGTTAGCTTGTCTTCGACCCCCCTGCAAAAAATAAAACTTGTCAGGCCATGGGAAAACCGTCGCTTTCCAATTGGTTCAAAGGCTAGTTGCGTCAGATCAAACAGCGTCCGATGTTTCAACATCGGCCCAGCCGAAACGCATCCACCCAGGTTGGCCGCTTGGCAACTATGTGAGGTTGAGAATTGTTCAACGTCATAAATCGACGCTCTAAGAATCAGACATTGATCGGTCCAAACATGTCATCATGCTTCAAATAATAGAACTTGCACAGACCAACTATACTCACATGGTATGGCATCCCCCCAAAAAGTCAGAATTCCCTGTTTGCCACTGACATCCAGTGTAAAAAGCTGGGAAGCGAGATCCGGGAACACACCCGCCAACATTTTAGTTCACAGGCCATGGCGCCAAACCGTCGCCACTGAAAGGAGGTGACTGGAAGGCAATTGTCCTGAAGGTACCTATCAGGTTGCCATATCATTCCCACTAATCGTAGACTGTAGGTCAGGAGAAAGAAAAAGAAACTTCCATCTCATGTTTTGAGCTGACTCTCTCCCTCTCTCTCTGGTTCCATGTCAAGCCAATTTCGGAGCGAGCAGCAGCAGGGCAGCGTCACATGGCCCTGGTAGTCCCAGGGAAGGCCTATCCACGAGATGCGGATGGCAGCTGGGCTGTCCGTGTTCAAATCACCTGCTTAAGGCTTAACCGGGTGAAATGGACACCTCCATTCGACCCGAACCTACCAGGATGCTGGGGTCGCACTTGAACGCAAGCATTCCAATTGCTTTGGATGTGCATGCGTCAACTACTATAGAGGCCAAATGTGCAGAGCAACAAGATAGTCTCAAAATCCAGACTTCTGACCTGTCAATGGGCATCCGGCATCAGGTGGGGGAGGCAACAAGAGGTGCAGAATACAAACTGGGTACTGTGATGGGCATACCCTCCATCTGTTCCCTTCATGTGCAAAGATACGTTTCCAACCACGAAGACAGTGGCAGCACCACCACACAAATGCACACACAAATTATCTCGAAATCAGTTCCAGCCTGAACGGTTCTACGCTGCAAGGATGAGTCAGGCTCAATAGGGATGTGATGGAAAAAGGTCTCACTGTTTTGGAGCCATAGCAACCTCATGTCCATGGTGACTCTTTGGGGCTGTCAAGAGAGGAGACTTGCCCTTCCGTTTGGCTATCCGTGAGAACCAACTTCTGCAACCAGTTGGTTTGCCTAGTTGAAGATCTTCAAACCACATGCCTGTGAGTCTGAATTTGGCACCCTGTGGACATAGTCTACTCTGCAGATTTCTGTGGAACCCCAAAAGAAGGCCCCCCAAAAAAAGGTTCCTCTAAGGTGTGTTGCGTTTCATGCCATTGTTCACAAATTGTGCCTTCTCTGAGTCCCGGTAAACATCATAGCGGTGGGCTTCAAATGGGGAGGCCCACAAAAGTTCAGAGGTTTGGTTGCCTTTTGAAAGACCCTCTCAGTACTCTCCCAATGCACATAGAACCTTTCCATCTTGAAAGGGCTTTCCTTAAGGACCGGTCTCTTGAAGCTCTATGGAGAAGAGCTGTTCCACAAATTAGATGGGGCGAAAATTGGGGGGGACCCGGTAAAAAGGCTCCTTCTGTGAATTTGGTGAACCTAGGCCCCCCCGTGGGAAGCGACCTCGCGTCCATTTCGCGTCGAGTCCGACTCCGCCTATGGGCAAAGGCTCCAGGAACCGCTCCGCCTCGCGGCCGCTCTTGCCTGGAGCCCCGCGGAATTGGATTCCATGCGTAAGACCCCACTTGGTGGACGGTGGAAGGGGAGCCAAAAATTTGAATTTGAGCAGTCAAGCGGCTGGATTTCAACCACACCACAACAAGCAAACATGTGAAATGTTTCCCAACAACCATGAACAAGGGGGGAAAAGCCCATGGGGTTGACCAGACCCCAAAACAGGGGGGCGAAGAAAAAAGAAGGGGGCGAAACAGGACCCATCGAAGCATGATTCTTGAGCCATTGGGTTTCCAGCTGGGGTTGCCCGTCAGGTGAATGATAATTCACCGAGCTGCAATATCAAGCAAGGGACCCGCAAGAAAGGGGCCTTCACGGCAATTTGGCCAAGATGCCAGAACCGGCCCGTGGATGGCGTAGGGAAATTCCCAAGTAGGCTTGTCTCACATTATGGGACCCCCATGTTGCTCCTTGGTTTCCCAAAACCAACATCAGCATGCAGCAGGAGACGCTGTCAAGAAGCCACAATTGATGGCTATTCAACGGATTCTTCAGCAAAGAGGGAACCCTTTGTTGGACTGGTGTCGTTTGCCTTCCAACTTCGGCCCTAAGAAAAATCATCATGCCAACCCAAGTGACCTTTTTGCTTGTTTGGACTCGTCGGAGGTTGTTCAATCGCCATCGGCTCTCAAGGGAAACTTCGATTCAAGTGTCACCAACGTCAGACTCATACCTCGTGTCTCGGCACGAATGGCAGCCGTGCGGTGTGCGGTGGCAGCAAAAAGGTGTAGAGCTGAAGAAACAAATCTCCCTAAGCTAGAGGGAAAAAGAATCAACATGAATTGAACAGTTGTTGAGAAGCTCGCATTCAGCTGGCTGGTGAGGCAAAATAAACAAAAGAAACTGTTTTTCTCAGCCACCAGTCCATCCAAGAAGCATGGGCCTCATCTGAGCTGTCATGAATCACGCGGCAAGCGGCCCCAATATGTTTTTCTAGTCTGCCCCAGCAAAATGGACATGTAACTGCAACTGAGAAGATCTTTAAACATCCCAATTGAAACAAACGGTTGAAATCCCACAGAGTCAAATCTCCCTCGCCTTCCACTTCAAATCTCAATCTAAACGACGTGCTGGAATTTCCCACGTTGAAATCCCCGGATAGAAACGGATCCCCCGTTTCCGAAGCGGATCAAACGGCCATGGGTCCTAAATTGGGGTCCACCCAATCCCCAAAACTGAGCTGTCCTCAGATCCCCCGCTAAAAGCTTAACTTTCACTGGGCTAAATGGAAAACCCCCACTAAAATCTAAAAAGCCAAAAAGCTGAGGAACCGGATGGCGAGGAGCCACCAAGAAAATGGGATCCCAAAACGGAATTTTGACACCCACAGCCAAAAGCTCCGCTCGCGGCCTTGGCCAAAGAGTACCAGCAGCGCCGACTCCCGAAAGTAGGGGATCCTGAAAACTGCTCAGCTTCCCCGGGTGCAACTGGTTGCTGAGGAACAGAACGGTTCACAGAAACTTCCACCATTTCCCTCTGAACCCAATTGATTCATAGCCAAAACCCGGTACACAAATGGTGAACCCAGAACCATGAAAAGGATTAAGAAGGCGGCCGCACCTAATTATTTATGCTTGGGATCGTCCTTAGCTTCATCTACCCGGGTTTTGATTGTGACCCAATTGAGCAGCGACCAAAACTCCATTGACTTTGGTTCTAGTCGGATGGTCAAAGTCTATGCGGGCCCAAGCTCTACTGATGGTACCAGAGAACCACCTGCTAAGAATTGCAAAATTGGGGGGGGGGGGGCGGGTTGGGTCGCTGGTGGAACTTGAAAGCCCGGGCCCAGAAGCCGAGAGACCAGCCTCTTGAAAGCAACCAGAAACCGAGACGCTGACCTAATCCTCACGAATGGCTCCATGTCCCAGACATGGAAGGATTTGCTGGCCGTAAATTAAGTGCTGCAAACACTATCTTGAGACCCAGAGTGAATGGAATGAACAGAACGACCAGAGTTGAGGATGCTCGCTGTGGAGCCCATCGATCAAACAAGTTGTCAACAAGCCGTTTCATCAGCAGGCTTGCAGGACAAACAAGCCTAGGCTACTCTAAAAAGCTCACTGCCTTGCGCAGTGCTTGCCAACTCAGGACAATCGCGGTTTTCACACATTCAGTGGATGTAGCCATCAGCGAGTACACGTTGATTAGCAGGGAGCCAGGAAAGGTCTGAATGAATTATCATGGCTCACCAAATCGGGATGACAAGCGGCGATTTCATCCTTTGACCAGGACCATCCCGTGGCTTTATATGAATTACCGTTCACCAAAGCAATGCAAACAGAAACTAGGTCCTCCAGTAGAGAGGTCAAAATAAGGCTACCCGATTTTTTTCTGTAGTCTAATTAAGTAGGGACACCCTTTTTTACAAAAGAATCGGTCAAAGGGCACTACTGGGGGACCTAGAAAGCTGAGGTCTGCCGAAGGACCGGCAATGCGGCTGGCTCGCAAACACATGTTCGACCCTCTTAGAAAGGCCAAATTCGCTAAATCCAAAAAAAAAGCAGAATCAAAACCCGGTACTAAAATGGTGAACCCAGAAACATGTACAGAATTTTGAAGACGGATATCCGCAGCTACATATCGTTGGGATTGTCCCTTACTAACCTTCATCTACCCCGGTTTTGATTGAGGCTCAAATGAGGCTTCCCCGAAAAAGGAACACTCATGGGCTCTTACAGTCGCACCGGCGTGGCAAGGCCGCGTTTTTATCTGCCAGTTCAGTGGCACGTCTACCCTCCTCTAAGCTGGCTATTATTCAGGCTGCTTTTGCAACCCAATGGAGTCCATGGAATCCCGTCGAACTGCTTGAAATCGCCCAAAAGCCTGTCGACTTTTGGTTCTACCAACATGAATGT